TAATCAACAACATTAACATTAGCAACGCCAATAACAACAACATCAACAACCAAAAATTCACCAATAGCATAAGCATCCGCAACATCAACATCAACAACAACAACAAAAACAACAACAACAACGACAATAACATCATCATGAAGCGCTTTACAATTTTAAAAAACATTTCAATATTATCATTATTATTTACCATCCATCTCCATGAGTCCAGTGCTGATGGGGAATATAGCACGGATTGCGATACTATAATTAGGTTCGCTATAATTATAATAATAATATTATTATTATTATATTATAATAATAATAATAAAATTATAAATAAATGATAATAAATTTTTAGTGACGCAGAAAGTCGCGAGATGGTTGTTCACAACCATCAAACAGAATGCCAGAGAGGCAGAATCAAGTGGGTGAATCCATACGGGGGCCTACAGTTGACTTTCTCCCGCCAAAATTTTCCATTTTCTCGCCAAAATCTTCCATTTTCCCGCCAGAATCGCCCACTTCTCCGCCAAAATCTTCCATTTTCGCGCCAGAATAAACCATCATATCGTCAGGATCAGCCATTTTCCCGCCAAGTTCTCCATCGTTCATCGGACGATGTTGACAAAGTTGGCGAGTTTTATACATGCTTGTGTCGTTCAAAGTATTTATAATAATAATACTAGTAATAATAATAATAATAATAATAGTAATAATAATAATAATTAATAATAATAATAATAATTATTATTATTATTAATATTATTATTATGACAGGGTTCTAGAATGTTCTGTTTCGTCCTGAAGGCCTTCGACGCCAACGTGAAATTTCAGAGAGAAACTGATGATAAGAAGTTTATCGATATGTGAGTGTTGAACGAGCGAAAAATGGATGAATGAATAAATGAATGGATGGATGATTTGATGGATAGATTGATAGCCCAATAGAAGAGTGAGTGAATAAATTGATGAGTTTAAAGATAGATAAATAATATGAATCGTTGGACGAAAAAACAATTGAATTAACGAACGAATGAACGAACGAACGAATGATCGAACTAATGGCGAATGCATGAATGAAAGAACCGAATGAATGAACAAAATACATATGGAAAACATTGCAGCAGCAGAAGTACATGTCTCTCGCCGAACGCCAGCGACAATATCGACCAAATAAAATTCTACATCGAATCAGTCCCAAACATTTTGTCGGATATTTTCGGAAGATTGGAAATGGATTTTATCTGGACTAATCAAACGCCCTATGAAAGTTAGTCTCCGTGTTTATCCATTCGTTCGTTCGTTCATTCATTCATTCATTCATTTATTCATTTATTCATTCATTCATTCGTTGGTTAATTTACGAAAGTGAGTTATGTATGAACAACTAAACGCTTATGATAGTTAGCTTTTGTGTTTGTTCATTCCTTTTTCGTTCATTCATTCGTTCATTCATCCATTCGTTCGTTTATTCATTCATTCATTTATTTATTTATCTATCCATTCATCCCTTCAATCATTCATTCAATCATTCTTTCATCTCTAGCACAGTTAACTCAGGTTAAACAAATTAAAATGTTTACTCGTGTTGTTGATGTCATTTTCATCATCATCATCACCATCATCATCATCATCATCGTCGCCATCATCATCATCATCATAATCAAAACTAAAGTTAAAACGCACGTCAACTCGTCCAACTTGTAGCCTCGTTAAAGCTCGGCACGACAAATGTATATTATTATTATTGTTAATATTATTATTATGACTATAATTAATGTTATTATATTATTATTGTTATTATTTTTGCAAATATATATATATATATATATATATATATGTATGTATGTATACACATATACAAAGTAATTGTATTGTACTTTTAATAATGTTAAGCCACCGAACTTGTTTAATAATACTAATACAAATAATTAAGTTTGTATGTATGTTGTATGAATGTTTGCTTGTGTGTGTGTGTGTGAGAGTGTGTGTGTGTGTGTGTTTGTCTCTCCGTCTCTGTCTGTCTATAGAAATTGATTTACTTCAAATATGCATTTAATATGCCATTTAAGTTAATTTATTACCAATCAAATAAAATTAATTTTGTTATTGTTAAAGACCTATAATCACACCATTATCATTCCACATAGTCGTCATCATCATCATCATCGTCATCTTCTTCATCATGTTTGGTAGGAGCCGGCCAAATAAGCATGTTATCTGACGTTTGTCACAAATTAACAATGAAGAAGATGACGATGACAACCACGTACACACAAATACACACACACACATACACACACACACTGACACACACACATATACATAAGTACATACTCAAATGTGATTTTTACTACTGCATTCATTGTATTACGCTCTACCATGCTTACGATAACTGTATTACTGCTTTTAAGTTTGGATTTCTATAAGAATGACAATGGAGCAGCTAAGCAGTGATTTGTTTGAAAGCAATAACGTTAAATAATAATAAAAATAATAAGACAACAACAATAATAATAATAATTATAATTATAATAACAATAACAACAATGCAGAATGCATGGAATGCACGGAAGATGAATTATCGGCGGCCATTTGCAATTCACACTTTGGTAACCGAATTATATTTGTATTAGTTATTATTTTTTTTATTATTGTTATTATTATTATTATTAGTAGTAGTAGTAGTAGTAATGGTAGTAGTAGTAGTGGTAGTAGTAGTTGTAGTCTCAGTAGTAGCAGCAGCAGAAGCTGCTGTTTAAAAAATTTGATCTATTTTTTCAGTTTTCGTTGGAGAAATGATAACAGGGAGACACACGGACAACAACAACAACAACCACCACCACCACCTCCACCACCACAACAACAACAACAATAATAATAATGATAGTTACGTCATAATAAAAAAGACTATTAAAAGAATCCAACAAAAATCAGACTGGAGCCTATCCAGCCTGAAGAACCATCGCAAGCAAAATAAACCTATAAAATTTAATGAAAAAACTTGCTTAAATAATAATAATAACAATAATAATAACAACAACAATAATAATAATAATAATAATAATAATGAAGATGATATATTCTTTGCCGATTTTAAATTAGATAGATTAAGTGTCGTCTGCTCACTTAATTATGAGAAATTTCTGAGATTTTGGCGAATTCAACGGCAAAAGCAATGCCATTTAAGTTTATGACCGATTCATATTTTATTATCTCGTTATTATTTCGTTATTATTTCGTTATTATTTCGTTATTATTTTTTACTGTGTTATTTCCGTTATCAATTGTACAAATTTAATCACTATCTACTGCTTACTTTTTAAATTTCTATTTCCTTCTTTTTAGTTTTATCGCTTTTGTTCGGAATAATAACACAGAGAGAGAGAGAGAGAGAGAGAGAGAGAGAAAGAAAGAGAGAGAAAGAGAGAGAGAAAGAGAGAAAGAGAGTAAAAAAAAAGAAAGAATGGAATTAATCAATCAATCAGTCATTCAATCAATCAGTTTCTAAAACGCTATTTCCGCGATGTTCAGCAGCACTACTCATTAACATTTGCAAACAGGTGAGTCTTGAGATCCGCTCTGAACTTCGTAAGTGATGGAGAAAAAGTCAGAGAAGGTTGATAGTTTATAGAAGGAGGTTGAAAGTCCCAGAAAAAAGACCGAAAAAAGCAAACTCAGATTTAACAAAAGAGTGTTTAACACGAGTTAAGAAGAAATGAGAGTAAGAAGACGATCGTAAACCGGGGCATTTAGATTCAATTAATATATCTGATAAGTAAGATGAAAGAGTACGTTTAATTAACCTGAAAGTTCTTTCAAATCACTTTAAATCGAAATATTTTTCAACATTTGTTGCAATGCTTGCAATTTCTAGTCTAACCATGACGAAATAACTCTAATTATGTTAAACGATGATAATAATGAGAAGAATAATTATTATTATAATTAATTTGTTGTTGTGTTAATAATTTTATTTATAAATATATCACAAACATTCGTTGTTGTGTTAATAATAAGATCTGTCTATAAATAGATCATAAACAATCCTTTTAATGTGTCATACGTTTCATAAATATTAACACCATTTGGCATGCAATCGACTGTATACATGTACCTGTCAAGCAAGAGTGGGTTGCTAGGAAGTAAAAATCTTTAGTAGTAATTAACTAATTCAAAATATGTTGAATAAGTGTTAAATCATAAAACGTTTTAAAAGATTTTTGGTGTTTTTAAAGCAACGGGCTTACGGAAATTACAGATACTTGTATCGATAGATTCGTGCAATCATATAATAATAAACGAAAATATGTAGCTTAAAGAGAAATCGTTACTGACATAGAATAGAACTAACTGGATTGGATAATTTGTAACATTAGATGTTTGGCTGGTATTTACAAAGATAGAAACCTGGTTCATTATGCAAGTAGGTACCAGCAACTTCTCACGGCACTCTCGCGTACTTCTGATTTACCGTTCAAGTACTTAATAAGATACTGCATCTTCCTTCATCACACTATGGCTTACTGGAAAAGGAACGATGTAACGCCACTCCAGTCACTTTAGCTAAATCGTATTTTCATTATTTAAGATTATGGGAAATGATGCCAGAACTCTTTTGATTATATAGCCTTGCAAAGTTTTACGTACATGCATACCTATGTTTACATAAATAATAAGTAATAAATAACATAATATATACACCTCATATTTATAAAATATAGCATATTCTATATATCAATATATATGTGTATATATTCTATAAATTCTATAAATATGATGTAACTCAATAAAAACGAGTTAGGCGCTTGATATTTTTGTGTTTTAACTTTACGATGAAAGTTAACTTTTAATTGACACATCACAAATTTTTTTAATCTGCAACTGCTTGTTACGTGATCGTTTTGCGTTCAAATCTAATTTAAATTTGAAATATTTAAGTAAATTCATTTAATTTAAAAACTAACAGTTCAAAATTAATAAATTTAAAAGTTAATAATTATTAAAAAGACAACAGAATGAACGTTTTTAGATTGTGTGGTGACTTGTCTCATCTGTTTGCAATTGTCATCCTAATTTTCAAAATATGGAGGACCAAGTCTTGCGCTGGTAAATTTTATTTTATTAATTATAATTCTATTTTATTCATTTAGACAATTTAAGGCATTTTCTAAGGACAAGCCATAGTTAAACGCTTTTTTAGTTTTTACATAATATTCCACAACTCATTCACTCCTTGTTACTTTGTTAGTCTTATCTAGGATTGATTATATTGTAACTCGCTCTACTATGGTCTTCCTGACTCTATACTCTATCCTTTAAGTAAAGCTTTTAACTCTGCTGCTCGTCTAGTTGCTTGTGCCCCTTTCTTTTCTCATATATCTCCATATCTTGTTCTCTTGTACTGGCTACCTATAAAATATAGAATAATTTTTTAAATTTGCTCGTTCATGTATAAGTCTCATTCTAAATTATTTCCTAAGTATTTATCTGATATATTAATTGAACCTAAAGGCCCCGGTTTACGATCATCTTCTTCTTCTCGCTTTTTCTTAACTCGTGTTAAACACTCTTTTGCCAAATCTGCTTTTGCTTTTTCTGGCCCTTTTCTCTGGAACTCTCTACCTACTTCTCTGACTACTTCTCCATCACTTGCGAAGTTCAGAGCGGATCTCAAGACCCATCTGTTTTCAAAATTCATTGAAGAGCGCTGTTGAACATCGCGGAAATAGCGCTTTATAAGCTAATTGATTGATTGCATGACTGAGTTTCATGTTGATTATAAAATTTTAATTTTTGTTATTTATTTACTTAAATTTATTAAAATAAATAAGAACCCCACTCATCCTACTTAAGTTAAGCGGCCAAGGAGCCTTATTCTCTTTGCTGGGTTATGTTAGATTTTATTTTATAAGTAAGAGATATTTAATTTACTACATATTCACTTTTTTATAAACTTTTAGAAGAGTATTTTTTAAATTTTAATAATGAATTAGACAGTAATCATGCTTACTTGTTATATAATGTATAATCATAAACAAATAAGTTGTAAAAGTAACATTTAAATTTTGAATTTAATCCACAAAACAGGATTGTCAGGAAAATCTCAAATACTCTTTGCCCTGGTCTTCATAACACGTTATCTAGATCTATTTACTATCTTCATATCCTACTACAACACCATCATGAAAGCAGTCTACATACTGCTGACTTTACTTACCATATACTTAATTTATGGTAGATTTAGGTCGACTTACGACTACGATTACGATACTTTCTACTCTAGCGTTCTCATCGTTGGTTCTTTGGTGCTGGCGGCGTTTCTTAACGAGGCCACTACTATACTTGAAGTAATTATTATTGTTATTACTAATTATATTTTTATTGATTTTATATTTATAGTTTTTTGTCAGTTATTTGTCAATTTTTATCTATTACATTTGCTTGAATACTTTTTAACTTGATATAAATTGATAGTAATATTAATAACAATTAAATTTTTCACAAATTCCTTCAGCATCTAGATGTGAAATTTTTACAGTTATTCTTCGAAGTTAGGTTCACTTTTAAATCTATTTTTGTCTTATCAGATTCTTTGGACCTTTTCCATCTACCTAGAATCAGTAGCCATCCTACCCCAGTTGTATATGCTGAGTAAAAAAGGCGAGGCCGAAACAATAACCTATCATTATTTGTTTGCACTCGGCATATATAGGGCTCTCTATCTTTGTAACTGGGTGGTCAGGTACCATTATGAGAGTTGGTTCCAATTGATACCTACCGTGGCCGGCTGTGTACAGACTGTGTTCTACCTTGACTTTTTCTATCTGTATTATACCAGGAGTTAGCCTTTTTATTGGATAAATTTTTTTGTGTGGAGATTGTTTGTATGTGTCTTCTTTGTGTGTCGTTGTTGTTGTGTGTGTTATGCTTAATTTATTGTGTATGTTTTTATGTTTTGGGTATGTCTGTGTATGTATGTATGTGTGTCTGTGTGTGTGTGTGTATGTTTGTTTTTGTTGTTATGTGTGGGCTTTATTTATTGCGTACGTTTTGTGTGTGTTTGTGTGTGTATGTTTATTTGTAGTATTGAAAAACTTATAAATGGTAATAATACTTGTGTTATAATGATTTTTCAAAATTTAATTACACTTTCAGTTGTCAAAGGAAAAGGCTTAACTTTGGAGATTTAAAGAATAAGTAAATGGATGGATGAATGAATAATTGGATGGATGGATGAATGAAAGAAAAAATGAAAGAATGATTGATTTCAATAAAGTCCTGTTGATGATTATCTTGAATTATACTGCAACGCTAATGCATGTGTACAACATTTATTATATTCTTGTCAGTATTTTTAGTTACGTCATTATTGCTGTTATCATATTGTTATTGTTATTTATTATTATTATTATTATCATTATTGTTATTATTATTGCCTTTATCCACGTTTTAATTGTTAATATTTCGTTATTGCCATTGCAGCCTTGTTACTGATACTATCATGCCAGTCATCATCATTATTTGTCTTTTGTTCAATTTCAGTATAGCATTAGTAGTAGTAGCAGAAGTTGTAGTACTAGTAGAGGTAGTCTGGTGGTGGTGCTAGTATTACATAATGTGCCTTTGGCAAAATCTCATTAATAATTTTTCTCTTTGTTAAAGCTTTTGTTCAAGTTCGAATGTCTTTTTTTTCATCTTGTTATTAAAAAATCCTTCAGTTCAACTTTATTTCTGTACAAAAATATGTTACCAAATGTTTCGAGATTCTTAGTTTGTTCATTTAAAACGTATATATATATATATATATTTATTTATATATATTTATATATATATATATGAATATTCAAATAAAGGATATATAGTTTGACCAGTATATATCTTCTATAATACTGTGGTACTCGAATTTATTCGTTTTGAGTAAATTTTACACTAGTGTTCGCAGATAAAATACAGAATATAACAGGACTTCACGAATGTTATCCGTTTTTGACCGCCATCTCTTCTCCCTGCAATCTTTTCAGTAATTGTTAGCTTTTTCATTCGTTCCTTCCACAAGATGTGACCAAAAAGCTGTCCCCGTCATGACCAAACTGTTTTAATACATCTTCATAGGAGATATGAAAAGACCAACTAATTTTCCCAACTCTTCTCAAAAACCACATCTCAGCGGCATTAATCCTTTTTTCCATTTCTTTAATAATTGTCCAGGACTCGGGAAAAAATGTAACGCTTTAACCAATTTTATTTTGTTGATATTCTGACTTAACTGTTGGTGTAGGGCAATGTTTTTCGTTTTAGAATGTTAATATTTATGAGCAAGAATTGCTGTGAACTTTTGTTTAATTCTAACCCTTCGTTACTATGGTTTATTAAACTTGAAGTAATTTAATACATCAACTGTTTAAAAGTTAATTTACTGTTCCAGATTATTAAGAATTGCTAACCAATATTGTTATCAATTTTACTAAATAATGAGTTCGTCTGCGGTAAAACCTGATTTTCAAGAATGTTGTATGCTGGTTAGGGAGGGTAAAATTGACAAAGTCATGCCGTTAATTGAATCTGAAAGCAAAACCTGGATTCGGCAAACTGATTCAGTTGGGTTTTTGTTTTTAATTTTTTTTAGTAATTTTTTTTATTTTATAGTTTTATAGTACTATATAAAATATATATAGCAACAATTGAAATTTATCAATCAAGTGGATAATTAAATTGAAAGTAAATTAGTAAAGGGAAAGCAAATAAAACAGGATAGAGACAAGTTAAAATAAAAATGTAAATAAATCAGATGACAATTTGTGTTATTAATTAATTAATTGTTGATTTAATTATTTTTTTGTTTTATTTTCAATATTATTTTTCTTTCCATAACTAACGCTAACCAAAAACCAAAGTCAGGAAGATCACTATTACACTGGGCAGCCCTGAGTGATTCAGATCAGTTCATCAGACGTTTGATTGATGAATTGCATTTTGAAGTGGACTGCATTGATGATGTTTGTCATATTTTATTATAATTATATATTATGTTTAATTCTTATTACTTATTATATTTTTTATAGTTATTATTCCATAATTATTTTCAAAACTTTTAGTATTTTTATTTCGTCAATATTGCATGTTATGAGATCATTATGTTATGATAGGTCTTATTGAGTTTGTAATTAATTCAAATTTATATTATTTTTAATTATATTTTTTCATGTTTATTTTCTAAAATAATAAATTTCCTTCAAATTAAATAGATGATGTGGACCCCTCTTATGATTGCCTGCTCTGCTGGTAAGGAACTTATAGTTAGGCTCCTAATAGCAAAAGGTGCTGATGTGAACCATGTTAATTCTAATGGAACATCAAGTTTACATTATGCTGCCTCTAAAGATCATCATAAGGCTTGTTGATTTTGTATTTTTTAAACTAATTGTTTCTATAATAATAATAAATTCCAACTGATTCCTAAATTAAATTAAAAAAGATTGCAGAAATACTGCTAGAAAATGAAGCAGACTGCTACATAGCCGACAAATATGGCCACACAGCACTGCATAGAAGTTGCAGTTTGGGTCGAACATCAATTTCAAAATTATTGCTAAAACATAGATCTAACATTAATGCCTGTGATAAGGAGGGAAATACACCATTGTTTGTTCTATTTTTTAGTATCTTTTTTGTTTTTCTTTTGTTTTTTTATTTTTATACATTGAGTTTATACTATTTTGATTGGATTTTTAAATTGATTAGCCAGCTCATTAACATAAATTAGGCACCTAGCTTGCCAGGAGGGTAGAGTCGAAGATGCCTTGTTGCTAGTTAAAAATGGTGCAGCTACAGACCGTATAAATAAAGTGATCCTTAATTATTTTGAATTTTTTTAGATTTAATAAAATTCAGTTTCTCTTTCTAAATTTATGGAATGCAGCTGTTACTTTTAGTAATGTCTCTATTGATATCTGTTTCTATATGTACATTTGCATATTTTTATTATTAATTTTGTTATTCTATAAATATTTTTTCGTTATGTTAATTTAATTTATTTAATGATTTAATTATTATTGGAAAATATTGCTATTAATTGTTTGTATTTTTTTCATTTTTCTACTTAGGAAGAAAAAACAGCTCTTGATTATGCTACTAGTGAATTGAAAAAGGCACTGACTGCATTGCAAAATTAACTTTTATTCTAGTTTCTCTTCACCATTACTGTCTAAAAATCTTAATTATTTAAATTTAGGAACAGTTCTACATTTTTTATTTTTATTTTGTTAATTTACTTCTTTGTGTTTCATTTCATTATGACAGTTCCTAAGTTCATGTTGAGTTTAAATTAAAAATGAAGGCAAAATGTGTTGAAGCTGATGTTGTAGGCACTCCCAAAAACTATTATACCATGCCAAACCTTCACTTCATTTTATATATGTATCAATCAATCAATCTTCGTTTTGCGTCCAGAGACCCGGTTTCCCGAGGTAGGACGTATTTTATATATGTATGTAGGTGCTTATGTGTCAAAAATAGAATGTACTTTATGCCTAACAATAGACTGTCTTTATAGTTATACTGGTCCAATTCTTTATTACTTAAATAAAAATTACTCATTTCAAATAAATAGTTTAGAAATTTGTATTTCTGTAAAAATGATTTCAAATAAATTCACATTCAAAGTTGTCTAAAATGGCTAAATTTTGTATTCTAGATTCAAAATTTATAGTACAGAAATGATGAATGCAATAGACAATGAACAAACATTTGAAGGGCTGACTGTTCGTTCTTTGTTCTTTACTTAAATTTCGTTTTAAACTATGGAAACAAAAGCTGGCATGGCGATTGAAAACGTGGTTAACTCGGCGATGGACGTTGGAGAAATTGTGAGACAGATAGACGATGAAGACGAGCTGAAGAAAAGTCTCATCAGGGTTGACAAGCTGATCGATGTCGAAATTGACGTGGGGAGGATGTTGTTGTTTGATCAGAATTCACTGGACGATTGCTTGTTGAAGTTAGTAATCCGGATTTTTACGTTTGGCAATGTTTTAGAGTTGAGCGATAAACAAGAACAAACGCCTGAGTGATAATTTAATTGAAATGTATAATTAAATTAACCTATAATCGAGTACGATTATGTCATGATAAATTAAAAAAGACTTACACATGGAGTTATGATTCTCTATTCTATAGGACTCTAGTTTTGGTTTTTAATTAATTAAAATTCAAATAAATTGATAGATTCATTTCATTTTTTAATTTATGAAAGTAAATTGGTGAACATTCTATTCTAACTATATTAGTGAGCGAATACGAATGCTTCCAAAATCATAATATAATTTATTATGTTTTATATGTAATTTGTTATAGGTTCTTCAAGTTTTTGCCTATATTCAATAGTCTTAATTTATTTTTTCAAATTAGAACAAATTCAAAACGAGATCAGTATTTAAAAGCCCTAACAAGAGATAATGTACAACTGCTTGTTAATAAACTCTGGGAGGTATGTGTGTGTGTTTGTGTGGACATATGTGTGGGTATGCGTGTACATATATGTGGATACATCAGTTTATGTGTGTATATACATGTGTGTGTATAAGTTTTTGTTTAATTATTTTATTATTCATTCAAGTTTTTCTCAAATGATTCTTATTTAAAATGATATTATTGGTACATATTTTTCATATTTTTTCCTCATAGTTACCAACGGAGAGAGTTGATGAAATTATAGTAGCAAAGGTAGGTTTATCATTATGAATAGATGGATTGGGTGGCATGATAGTGTAATGGTTAAGATGCTTGGCACTGGTGATGAAATTGCCAGGTTTGATGAAATATTAATTGTGTCAATGATTTTTAAATTGCTATCATTAATATTTTAGTTCATTTTATTTTAAATCAGTTGCCTGCCCCAGTTACAATTCTGCCCCGAGAAAAACGGGTAATTATATTTCTTTGTTAATTACTTTCATTATTTATTATTCTTATATTTTATATTAATAATATAATTGTTATATTTTGTTATTATTTAGTTTTTTTTTAATTTGAAGTTAAAAATTTTTGACAAAATTTTTTCCTTTCAAAAAAATTGTTCAATGCTATAATAATTACCACAATAACGTTTATAACCTTTGATAACAACATTCCTTTATTCTTTTTTTAGCTACCTACAGCTAAAAAAGAGACAAAATGGGAATCATTTGCAAAGTTGAAAGGAATTAACAAGAGGAAGAGGGGTCGAATGGTTTGGGATGAGGAGTTAAAAGTAGCGAATTTTTCTCATTTTTATTCTTTTTTATTATATAATTAATATTTTTTTTTGTTTTGAAATTTAAATTAATTAAATTTTTGAAAAATTATGAAAAATTATTTATTTTATTTATTTATTCATCTAGAAATGGATTCCTAGATGGGGTTATAAAAGCCAAGATGAAACGAAAGATTGGGCTATTGAGGTTCCAGATCAAGTTGGTTAGTACCTGGTTTGTGATTGGTCAGTTGGGCAAATGATATTTTGTTTCCTCAGTTTAATTGGTTGATTGATATGATAATTTTTTTTTTAATTGGTCATTCATCTAGGTAGTATTTTGGTTTGCAATTTTGGCTTTGTTAAAAAAATTTGACAATTTTTTTCTGATTGGTTGGCCAAATAAACGATATTTTGGTTTTTAATGTTTGATTGGTCAATAATTTTGAGAGTTATTTTCACGTGATTGTTTCACCAGATGTCTAGTTCTTAACACTTAATCTTAAATAAATAAAAGTGAATTTTACATTGATAAAAAAATAATTCGATATTTTAAGATCCATTTGAAGACCAATTTGCCAAAAGGGTCAAGGCCAAGAAGGAGAGGGTGGCCAAAAATGAACTTCAGAGGTTGAGAAACATAGCCAGGAATTCTAAAGGAAAAAGTGAATATTTAAAAAAAAAATTTATTTTATGGGTTTCACAATTTTTTAACTTTGAAAAATTTTCCATTGAGTGTTTGATGAATTTTGTGACTGCATAGTTCCATTGTTTCCTAATCTCATAACTTCTACAATTTTTCAGTGTCAATCTCGAAGTTTTTGTCTCATAATTTTGTGATTTTCATCATATAATCTTATATTTTTAAAAGGAGAATAATCATTAATCTTTTTTTTTAATTTTTTCAACAGTAAAAGCCATAGGCCTGATGCCAACGAAAATGCCAAACGACAGAAACGATCTGACGGTCCAGATGACTGCAGCCAGAAAGAGCACTGCCTCCATGGGAAAATTTGATCCAAAGATCAAAAATGATACAAATAAATCTTCCGGTAAAAAACGAAAGGTCAGGGCTGAAAAAATGTCATCTTTTCTTATTTTTTAAAGTAATTATAGTGGCATATAATTATCTTTTAATTGATGAAGGTTTTTGGTGGTTGTCACTCATTTGAATAATTATTTTGTACCATTCATTGTATCTTCACTTCTTCATGTATAGTTCTTTCTTTGCCATTTAACTGTCCATATAATATTTTCAGATACTTTGTTATAAGGCCTGTCTCCAATTCATAATGTAACTCGTTATTACTGCATTTTTTTAATTCATCCGTTTCCAAATCATCATTGTAACAGTTGATTGTATTGCAGTTAACTTTGATGTTGTTCATAATTTCTTCATTGAATTACAGTTTGAAAGCAACTTCAAAAGTTTGGAAAATGAAAAGAAACAGAATCTAAATATTCTCAACAAATTGTCGGCTGCCAAGCCATTGGTTGATAAAAATAGAGCTGCAAATTTAGAAATTTCTGCCAAAGAAGCTAAAAAGTTATTTATTTTTAGTTTCATTTCTTAGTTTATGTTTTTTAATTTATTTTGGACGTTTTTTTCGTTTTTTACTTCTTTGCTTTGTTTCCTTTTTTTCAAAAAGGTTTTTTGGCCACGTTTATTAATAATATTTCACATTTGGATTGCCATAAAATGAATAAATCCATTTTAATTTATTACTAATTTTCATTTCTTCGTTGGTTTTTTTAACACTTCTACATAAAATCATCAATTCTTTCGTCCATTTAACCATTCATCCATCCATTCATTCATCCATTCATTCATCCATCCATTCATCCATTCATTCATCCATCCATTCATTCAGCCATCCATTCATTCATCCATTCATTCATTCATCCATCCATTCATTCAGCCATTCATTCATTCATCTATTCATCCATTCATGACATTTCACTTGAAACGTCTTGCCAGAGCCGCCAAGAGGATGGCAAGAGATGACGATGAAGCATCCAATAAGAAGAGAGGAAAGAAATTCACTAAAGGTAAAAATAAAAATGGCGGCCGAGGTGGTGTTGATAATGATTACGATCGGGCTGCCGGCGGTATGAAGACGTCGAAGAAAACGCTGAAAAAAGTTAGAGGAACTTCGAAGCATAGTCTACATAAGAGACGGAAGGTGTAGATCGGGGATGTATGGTGACCAGCGATATTTTTATTCTTTTCATTGTTATTACCGTTTATTATTATTATTATGATTTATAGGAATATTTTGCGAAAAATGTTATTTATGTCGATTTTTTTTAGTAAATATTTCTGACTGCTCTAAAAAGTTTCGAATAGAAAATAGCCAAAGAAATTGTTAGTAATATGTCTCTTTGAATAGATTGTTGTATGCATTTGCATGTACAATTGTACACACACACACACACACACACACACACACACACACACATGCATAATTCACGATTCTCTGTTTGAGTTACGAACATGAGAAGTTGATAAGAGAGTCGGAAAACTTCCAAAAGTAAGGTAACAACCGGCTGACTTTAATGGAATTCAACGAAATGTGTAATAAAGAGCATATTAAATCATATATACATACATACATACATAACATATGCATTCATACATACATGTGCACAATTATAAGCTGTTGTATACATACATACATACAAACGCTCATTCATTCGTACATGTGCACGATTATAAGAAGCTGTATTGTTCAGTTGACTCTTCACTGGCTTGTTTCAATACATTATCTACAATCGATTCTACGATTTGTTGGTACGACGCATTGGTATGAATAAGTTTACAATTATTGTTCGTGAGTGGTATCATGTTATCGTTTAATTATAGTCTCAAAAGCTGTATTTGATATGTAAATGTACAATATCAAACTGAGCTGAAGAGCTAAGAACCCTTTACACGCCTGTTTGTGTATCTTGGTATCTTGTTATATTATCTATACATACGTACGCACACATATTTGTGGAAAGTACCGTGTATATATATATTTATGAAAAATGGAATAAAACACTGAAAATAGCATTACGGATGTAAGCGCAAGAAAAAAGATTGCTCATTTACGTTTTGTTTACGTGCTTGTAATATAAGGATGGACTATTTACGCATGCACACTTGTAATGTTTGTGTATATGAATTTATATGTTCGTAGATATGTATGTTCTATGCATACATAAATACAATTTATGTACATGTATGGCATACACACAGATATGTATTGTATATACTTTGGCATAGAACGCATCGAAATTTTATTTCATTCATAATGAGTCAGTTCGCTGTGTAAATATGAATGTGTGTGTTTAGTTGAACGCAAGGAAATTAAGTTATATATATTGATCAGAATGTGGTTTTTGTAATGTTAATTTGGTATTATAAGCTAAAGTACCTGAGACAAGCATGATGTGTTCGTCTGAGTTATTTTTACGTTTTGAAATGTTAAAAATTTGATGGCGCAAACATGAGGATAGAATTTGTTATTTTTCACAACATGTTTGCAGCATATTATCTATTTTTCATATTGATCGCCCTGCTCGTTTACTTCACGTTGTTGCTCCTTGTGTCGATCGAATTACCCTACTCACCGATTTTCGGCTACGAACCGAACGATATTCACATAGTCGAACGTGTTCTGGAGAAAAATCGTCAGAGATATAGCGAGTATAAAAACTTTCTGCAGAGTTACAACGTTAGTAAAATGCTATTTCGATACAGCGAGAAACAGAATACCGACAATTATTTATCGATCGGTATCGTCACCACCGAAAGACTCGTTGAAGGCAAGAGCTGGGACTTTGGCTTTTTGCTCCAAACTGTCGCATCTATTTTAATGGAAACGAGAAACGTGAAAGAAGTAAAAAGTGCTATTTGTAATGCCGACAGACCACCGACAAAACACAAAACGGCTGCCGAGCTTTCAAGTTTCGTTCGAGTTTTCGATTTGTGGGACACACCAAGTGCCGAAGAAAACTTCGATCCGACCACCGATTCGTACGCCAAAGAAACCGACGATTATATACTTTGTTTGGAGACAGTGAGGAAGACATTTAAATCAAATTACGTTCTGATTGTTGAAGATGACGTTGTCATGAAACTCGGCAGTTTGAAAACTTTGAAGTATTTTATATCCAATCTAGAAACTCGTCACGCTGACGATTGGATATTTCTGAAGTTATACTATCCCAAAAAATGGCTTGGCTACAGTAGAGAACTTAGAACCATCTTAGAACTGATCTCGTCATCCATACTCATCTCATCAATCATAACAATCGTTATAAGCCTCATCAAAAAAATACGATCGCGTTCAATAATCATCTTACAAATATTCTTCTCACTAATAATCCTCCCCACTTTCCTAATTTTAGGCAGACAGACTTCGGTGCGCTGGCGTGAGATCTCCTCATCATTCCACACGTTGTACTTAACACCGGGCTGTTGCACACAGGCCATGCTCTACAATTCAAAACACATCTCACAACTAATCGAATTCCTCAAAAAGTCAAGAACTAACAGTAAAAATCCGATCGACTTACTGATAGATGACTACGTGAAGTCTGCCGACTTACGTGGCTACCTCGTTGAACCGAGTTTGTTTGATCACATTGGCTTTTGGTCTTCGTTCAGCAACAACAAAAAAGACGCCATCGACTTTCTATGACTTTGTTTTTCCATTTTTTTTTGAGTGAGATATCTATTTTTATGGTCCTACGCACACGCACACACACGCGCGCGCACACACACATATCTTATTTGTAAATCGAAAAATGAAACACGGCAAATTGCAAAGACAGTTTACTTAATTTATAGTTAATTTTGATAACTTTTTTTAAAAAACTTCACAAATTTCTCTCCATAACTGTTACAATAATAAAGACACCATGATAAGAATTATGTAATACCCAGGTATATGTAATGATTAATAAATTCTACGATAAATAAGTTTAGACACACGAACACACACACACAAACACACGTACAAACACACACGCACACACACGCGTTTATAAATAACATCATACAAAACATTCATCAGCTGGTAATGTTTTATCTGCTAACCAAAATGAAAAAACGAAGACAGATGAATAATAATCGCAAAAATATATATAAATAAATATATAAATAAATATTAATAATAATGATATAGATAACAATGATAATGATACAACGAGAAATTTTGACGCAAATTTTTTTACAAAGAATAAAATTGAAAAAAAAAAACTTAAGGCATGATCTTAAATTTATACATTTTGAAAGAGAACGTTTTTCGCAATTTTTAAAAGAGGAATTAAACATTATGTACACACACACACACACATATATATAAAGTCAACTTCAATTTGAATTACTTTACTTGGTTATAGTAAAAGTGAATTTTTAAGTTGTATGATTGAAAATGATTGACCGATTGATTGATAAAGATACACGTAAACACAAACACACACACACACACACACACACACATAAATATATATATACACGGAAACACAAACACACACGTGATGAATGAGTGAGTGAGTGACAAAATTTGCAGTGAAAATGAATGAATGTCACCTAAGATATGTCATCAGTCTGTTAAACAAGTCATATACAAAACGAATAATTTGCTCTCCAAAATACGTATTCATATGTAAATATACCCATTCCTAATACAAAAATAACAACAACAACAATAATAATAATGACAATAAAAATAACAACAATAATAATAATAATTCTCGTAACATCTTTAATTTAGAATTGACTTTAGTGTGAAAGGGATAAAGAGAAAAACGAACGAATGAATAACATTAGATAGATCAATTCTTTACAACAGAAAAAAAAGAACAGTAAAATCTAATAATAATAATAATAATAATAATAATATGACGAAATAAATAAAATATAATAATGTTGAAATAATATTAAAATAAATAGTGGCCTCAAACCATGTGTAATTACACATGAACATATTCCTTCATCATGTAGCCACCAACATCTGAAACGTATTGTTCTATAATTTAACGTAACACGCAATGAAAGATTTTATTAAATAATTAGATAAATATATATATTTTGAATTTATTCCAAAGTGCATTATAATTATAGATAATAATAATAATAAGCAGTTGAATGGTACCTTATATGAAATTTAAAGTGAAACACACACACACACGCATGATGGATGAGAGGGAAAATTAAACTGAAAAAAACCTGGAAGAACTTTTTCATCATTAAATCAACAATCTTATCTTAATTATTAATTATACGCATGCAAATATTTAAAAGTGAATTTAAGTTAACATTACTACTGCTATTAATTAATTCCCGAATGCATTTTTGATACATGAATGAATGAATGGATTAAATTTTAAGGATCTGAACAAATATATCCCACATAGACACTCACACACTCTCTCTCTCTCTCACACACACACACACAAACTCACATACGCACACAAATATATATGATTTGCATGCAATATATATTACAGATCAGTATGTATAAATAAATAAACAGTCAATCAAAAATAAGCTTGGAAAAGATGTTATTAATAATGCTTTATACAATATATTTATATACGTATATATACACCATATATATATATACATAAATATTCATGCTTATTATCATAATTTATTCAAATGCAGATTATTATAATGATGATGATTTTATGTTAAGCATACATTTACGAACACATACAATAACAATGGTGAAGATAGCGAAAATGAGGAGATTAGCATTGTTACTGCTTAGGTTTACACTAGCTAAAGATGTCGCTATGATTATTTTTTAATTATCTTTAATTATTTTTAATTATTTAATTATTTTTTTATTATTTTGTCACTAAAAAATCCTTCAGTGAAGGAACACTCTTTGATTGTGATGGTTGTTGAGTTTAGTGTCACGTCTGTCACGATCATGTTGTCAAATTTCCTCTTCTTCTCCGGAGTCGGCTGCCACGAAACCAAAGATCGTAAATTTTCATTGGATAAATTGTTAGTGACGTTGCTGTCACTGCCATCAATTTTGTTTTTTGATTTGTCTAGCTCGTTGTTTGCGGGAGTTGTTGTCGTGGTGGTCGTCTGAGATGATTTTTTAGGTTTACTTTTAAAATTTTCAGAACGGATGACTTTCTCATCGTCGTCGTCATCGTCGTTATCATCGTCATCATCATCATCATTGTTGGTGTTTACTGCGTTTCTGTTGATGCCATTTTCATGGGTTGACCGATTTTTTGACTTGAGTTTCAGTTTTTTTTTGTTCAATTTCGATGCTGTATTGTCTATAGCCTCCGACCTCCCCATCATCGTTGTGTGATGCCTTCCTGGCAGCCTCTGCTTCTGCTCCCTAATTTTAGGGAGTTGGGGATAAAATATAATACTGCATATGTACAAGAAGCTATAAATAAAAAACCATGAGTACTGGATCTAAACAAAAATGTAGTTGTAAATAAAGTTAAAAAATCATCAACTCTGTAAGCAAAAATAATTATAAAATGACAATCAATCAACAAATTAATTAACAATAAATGGACAAATAAAAAAATAGATGGATAGATAGATAGAGAGATAGATTGACAGATAGAAAGATAGATTGACAGATAGAAAGATAGATTGACAGATAGAGATAGATTGACAGATAGAGATAGATAGATAAAGAAATAGCGAGCAGAATGACCAAGAAACATACTTTTCTTTAAATTCTTGAACCAATCTTTCGTCCAAAATATTCTGCTTAGGCTCCCATGTGTTGTGCCTTGTCATTTTATAAAAATTAGAGTTATAATTAATTACGACAATTGTAAGAATATTAAACAAAAATAATAACTAGATTATTAAATTAGCTAATTAAAAACAGTTATGAGTGAAACATCATTAATTAATTAATTTAAATTGAATGTAACAAAAATAATATCAACAGCATATATCATAAATATCAACAACAAACACACACACAGTGTATGTGTGTATGTAGACAGACTCACATACGCATGAATCACTGCACCACACACACACATTGCATGCGGTGGGCAGGGATCTCTGTGCATTTGAAGCAGGTCACTGCCATGGCATCACCAGCCACTTTAATCATTACACCATCATACTAAATGAACAATCAATTACTTGCTACTCCATCCTTTCCACTTTACAAGATATTCCAACTTGCCCTGACATGGAAAATTAAATAATAATAATGATAATCAGGTATTTTAATCATTTTAATATTTAATTTAAACTTAAAATTAACTAAAAATAAAACATTAAATAACCTAACTGTCTAACTCTAATTAACTCTTTTCCAAATCTTGGAGCCTAATTTTAAAAATTCTAATACTAATTAACATTTTTTTTGTAAAACTTTTAAAAAAAATAAAATAAACTTTTCATACATTGGTTGGCCCGTTAGAAATGTTACTTTGTAGTTATTATAAAGTCCTAAAAACCGGCACGTAAAAATCCCCAACTTAACCATTTTACAAACAATTTAAAAAAGAAAATAAAATATAATAAGCCAACATAACTTACCCTCCGGTTTCGCTTGTTTAGGATGCATTCGGCTGCGAAAACTCGTTCTCCGACGTCAGTCAGTTCCATTCGTGAATTATATTTTAATAAATTAATTATAAATAATTGAAATAATTATAAAAATAAATTATGAATAATTACGATTTAAATTATGACTGCGAAATAATATTCAAGAAAGTATCGGGGGAAAATTCAAAACATGACACATTCACTCTTAAAACCCAAACAAAGGAGATTCATTACAATGAAGCGTTAAGTTTTTATGAATTAAATTTTATTTTACTTAAATTTTTTAATAAAATAAATTTTAATAAATAAAATTTTTTTATTATTGAAATACAAATTAAAAAATAATCAGGTCTCATGTTTTGATTGCTTTTTATCACTTAAGTTCATTTTTACTTATTGTTTACTTAAGTCCTTTTTTAAGTATTTATTTTAATTAAATAATGCTTCAAAAATTCTTATTATACAATATATATTATTTTTTATTCAATGTGCACTAATTTAGTCGTTTAATTATTTGATTTTTTATATTTACATACAAAATGTCTAAAGACGATCTCTTTTATTTCCTAATTTTATTAGTGTCAATATTTTTTGCAAACTACTTAAATAACTTGCAATCCCCAAGTCAAAAAAAGTTACTAGTATTCACAGTTGGACTTTCTCTAGTGATGCTAACATGCGGCTATTCATCGTTACATTCCCTAATTACAGTGCTAGTCAATTTGGCTATTATCAAATTAGTCTCCCCTAAGTTAGTATTTGAATTTTAGAGAGGTAACTAAAAAAACAATTTACTAAGGAAAAATTTAAAATTTACTTTGGAATTTGAATTTTATAACGAAATTTTTTATTTTTACCAATAATTTTTTGAATATTTATTTGGTTATTAAAATTGATTAAAATACAAAATTCTAAAATTATTAAAATTTAATAATTGAATTAATTCCTAAATTAGATATTGCCATGTTGTTAGCTTTGTGTGGTGCTTTGGCTATTTGTCATTCTTTAGACTTGGTTATCTCCTGTTTGGCCTGCCACCTGCTGTTTCCTATTTGAATGCTGTTCAGTTACTGCTTACATTAAAAGTAGTTCACCTTCTATGATGTTTAAGTTCACTTTTAGTTGTGTTTTTCATCTGAGTTCATTTTCAGTAGCAAGTATTAATTAGTAAGTATTTTATTTTATTTAATTTATTCACTTATTGTTTTAATTTTTAAATTTAATAAGTTTTACTAAAAAAATTAATTTATTCAGAGGCTCTTACTAACTTTTTTATTTTCATAATCTGCTTCACAGATGTCAGGATTATCATTTGAAGTCCACGACAAGCACGAAAGAATAAAAAATTTAAACTTTCAAAAGGCAACAACGACCAAGCGACCTGACGAGACGACTATAAGAAACTTGAAGACTAACAATAATGATATCGTTAAAGATAATGATGATGGTGTTGTTGTTGATAATGGTGTTGTTGATAATGATGTTATTGATAATGGCGTTGTTGATAATGATGCTGTTGTTGATGTTTTTGCTCCTCCTCCAGTCATAGACATGCTTGTTTATAGTTTCTCATTCATTGGAATTCTGACAGGTTCAGAATTAGTTTAAATACATACATACAAACATACATACATACATACAAACATACATACAAACATTCATACATACATACACACACGTACATACATACATTCATCCATGAGTACATACAAACATACAATAAGTACACATATAAGCATACATTGATACATAAATGTACGCACACACATATACATACACACACGTGCAAACACACAAATACATACAAACACACACCCATACACACACACAAACACACTTAAACATACGTACACACATAGGCCCTTATTACAGTTTCAAGACATTCAACGATATGATTGAATGTGATATCCCAGCGATAAGCATCAAACATCACATCTACAGAAGAATCAAATACCTACCATTAATCATCTTCCTTTTTTTGATACTCTCCTATCTCTATACACTGGATGTTAGTCAGTTAGTTAGATACATAGATACACAGATACATATATAGATACATACATACATACACATACATACAACATAATGATGATGATTACTTTTACTGAATAAAAGTTTTGTTTGATTGTTTGATTTGATTGATTGATTGATACACACATACAAACAAACATACATACATACGTACATACATGCATACATATGTTTTAATATAATAAATATATACCACTAAAAATTAATTTTCCAATTAATAAAATACTATTTGAAACTATTTATCATGTTCCATACATGCTTGCATATAATCAACAAACCAATCAATCAATCAATCAATCAATTAATCAATCAATTAATCAAATCAATCAGCCAATCAATCAATTAATTAATTAATAAATCAGCCAGTCAACCAATCATTAAATCAACTAGCTAAACCAGCAAACCATTGCATCTCTCCCTATCTCATTCATCCAGGATGTTAAATCAGTAGCATTGCAGTACAACAACAGCAACAACAACGACGCCAACAAAGCGTCCACACTACTTTCCCGCCTTTTTTACATGGTTGTGTTGTTCTGTACGTTCCGTATGCGAATGTATACAGCCTGGTTGCTCTCCGAAACTGTTTGCACGTCTGCCAAATTAGGGATGTACCCGATCGAGTGCGAGTCGAGATGTGGTGGCGGTCCAACTAAGATTGACGTGTTTGATGATTGGTTAGCTGGTCTCTTGATTGATTGGTTGATTGATTGGTTGGCTGATTGAGTGGTGGATTTATTGAATGGTGGATTGATTGGTTGATTGATTGGATTAATTTTAAACCATTTATTTACTATCGAATTTAATTAAGGAAGAAGAAGTCATTGAGTGAAAAGCTCGAAAGTGAATTCGATTTTGAAACAACCAAAAATCTAGATGTTAAAGGTTGTTGTGCTGGTTGTAAAATCAATTAATCAATCAATCAACCAATCAATCAACCAACCAGCCATTCAATCATTCAATCATTCATTCAACCATCTCATCCAACAAGCAGGCTGCGAGTTATGCACGACGTTGAGGCAAGGAATGAAGTGTTGGAACATGACAGTGCAGTACTGGCTGGCAACTAATGTCTACAAGAGATTGAATTTCATTAAAAGCAATAGAATTAGGTGTGAAATGAATTTTTATGGCGCTATATGAATGAGTGTAAAACATTTGGCGCCATATAAACGAGTGAATTATTGCTATAATTATTTTCGTTGATATTTAAAAACAGAGCAGGCCTGACAATGTTGGTCAGTGCATATTGGCATGGGGTGCATCCGGGGTACTATCTAAGTTTCCTTTTGGTACCTTTCTACATCCTGGCTGAAGATTTCATGATACATGCTTTTAAACTCACTTCTATGTTAGTATACATGTCAGGTACATGTCAATTTCATCTATGCAATCTGATGTACCGATAAAAATCTTTTTATTAAACTGGTTCCTCTATCAAAATCATTGAAATTATTTCACTCATTACCCAAAATCTTACTTATCTAATCAAAATCATCAAAACAGTCTCATTCAATTAATCAAAATCTAACACCAACCAATCAAAATCATCCATGCCACCTTGTCAACCAATTAAAATCATTCAAACTATCACGAAAACCAATCAAAACCAACCACAAAACCTTACTAATCAACCAGATCAAAGAACTCCGTCGCCGCAGCCAATAAAATCTTCAACTTTCTGATGTGGTTGTGCACAATGAGGACATTCGAATACATGAGCATGGGTTTCATGCTACTGACTTTCCACGATACTACGGCCTACTGGTCTAGTATTTATTACTGCGGTCACGTCTGGACCGCTACTATGATTGTAACTGGATACACTATCAAAAAAGTATTTGGGAAAGGTTGTATTAAGAAGGAATACTAATACTAATCATACCAATACATATTCATACTACTAATCATACTACTAATCATAATGATAATCATACCACTAATAGCAAATCATAATACCAATCATTATCTTAATGTTCATCCATAAGTCCTGTTCATCATTTTTTCTTTTGTCGTTCGTTGTCATCGTCCCACCAGCATCGTGTCTATGTCTATGTCCAAGTCTATGTCTATGCTTTATACCTAAGCTACGAAATATTTATGACGTGATTAAAAATAGTTTTCGGTTGTTTTTTCGTCATTAATCAGTAAAATTATCTCGAAAATCGGTTTTATTTGTTGCTATTTAAATAATATTGATACATTTCAAGTTTGTGTATGCGCGTTCGTGTGTGTGTTCATGTATTTGCGCGTTTTTATGTATGTAGGTACAACCATACATCCATTGTTTCGAATTTAGTATTGTCTTAATTGGATAAATTTTTATTCTTTATTCGAATTTCGATTCACATTTAGTCGATCATTCATTAATTTATTTGTTCATTCAATCATCCATTCTTTCATTTTTTTTTTCATTCACTATAATAATAATAATAATAATAACATCACCACGGAAAGCACATATTTTTTAGCCAAAATAAATTAATATCTTTATCATCGTTGGCTCTTGCTTAAACAAGATCAAGTGCACACACACGCACACACCCAGACACACACACACACCCACAGACACACACACACATATATATATATAATAATATTGTATAATGTTGGTAGTAATTTTTAGGCGCTTATTAATCAGACAAAGCTATTCAATCAAGACGAATTTCTAAATGTACGCGAACACACACGCGCACATTTTTATATATTCATAATATATATATATATACACACAAAATTATATTACAAATTTATTACACCGAAGATAATATGCAGCAAAATTAATCAACATTATATATAACAGTTGCAGTGATAATTTATTTATTAATATAACTATAGCTATAATTTATTAATAATTATAGTTATAATATATTACAGCTATAATTTATTTATAATTATAGTTATAATTACAACTACGGCTTCTGATGAAAATAGTTACGAAAATGATTGAAAAGAAGCAGTTAAATTTAGTTGCAGTCCCATCACGAAGACTATGGTAAGAATCAATAATTAACTAATTAACTATATAAAAATAATTTCCAAACAATCAACCAATTAATTAATCAATTAGTCAATCAATCAATCGGTTGATTGATCGATAGATCAACCATCAACTAGCCAATCACGTCAAGGAGTCGGTCAGCCAGCCAATCACAGCCGAGCAATGGTTTAATTTCTAGCTAGGGTGCAGATGAGAGAGCAGCACATTTCGAAAAATTCTAAAATCTGATGGTTCTGATTGGTTGAAGCCTCCTCACCGTATTCTTTATCTTCGATGTTTGCTTTGTCCAGGTCTAAATTATTAAGTTCGAATTATAAATATACTAATTACGAGTAACAATAAATTTATGACCAGTCATGTAACTTTTCAAAAGAGATTGACCAATCACTTCAGCAATCCAACTGGCCTATCAAATTTCGCCACTAACTGACCAATGGCATTTCACCACTTACTAGTCAATAAAATCTCACCACTGGCCAATCACGGAACACACAGCCAGCCAACCAATCACAGAACACACAACTAACCGACTGACCAATCACAGAACACAGCCAACCAACTGACCAATCACAGTACACACAGCCAACCAACTGACCAATCACATCGTCCGTGGACATGCTCCAATGCATACTGGCCGCTTGGGTCATCTTTTTTACCCTGGCAGCGTCAGGGTGGTCTTGGGTGTCGAGGCTTTTGAAATCAAGAAGATAGTTCTTCTGATCTACTTGGTATAGCTGTAAACTCATCTTTATCTGATGGTGACGATGATGATGATGTGGTCGTGATGATGATGATGATGTGATCGTGATGATGATGAATTTGTGACAATGGAAACAAGATGTCACAAGATATACCAGCACACAACGATGAAGATACACACAGACACACACACACACACACACACACTCACACACACACACACACACACACACGTACTAACATATTTATCGTTGATGGGATTTTTCTTCCTTGCTCTTATATGAAAGTTGTTAACTGTTTTCCAGTCCTAAAGACATGCAAAAATGACACAAACACAAAGATGATAAAAAAAATAATACAAATCTGACACAAAATGATACAAGAATGATACAAAGATGATACAAGGATAATACAAAATGATACAAGGATGATACAAAGATGATACAAAGATGATACAAGGATAAAACTAAAATGACCGACGTAGCCCAATGATTTCATGGCTCTGTAAACTTCGTGCATTATATCCATGGGCTTGCTCTGTGATCTTATACCTAGAGAATAAATGAATGAATGAACGAACATTTCGAATAAATGAATGCACAAATGTGAATGAATGAATGAATTCACCTAAATGCCACTTGGCCTTTTTAACATGCATTCCTTTCTTCTCAACGATTGGATCCAGGGTTGTAGTTACATGAGGATCTGTTTGAACCAGAAAAAAAATCATAAATATATCAAGATATTTAATGATAATATTTAAATTTTGATAGAAGTATTATGAATTTAACATAATCTGTTGAAATGATAGCGAACCATTCATTCTATCTGGATGACTTCGAGGTCCAAGACCGAAGTTTTGATGATGATTCTATTGGAGGTGAAGAAAAAATGAATAAACGAACGAACGAATGAATGTGAAGAAATGATCAAGTGAAGAAATAAATTGATGAATGATGGATTGAATGAATGAATGAACGAGCGAATTTAAATGAATATAAATAAATATAGATATAAGTGAATGGTTGGACAAATCAGTCCACACTCAACCAACCAGCCAGTTAACTAATCAGTCAATCAATCAATCAATCAATTAAACATTCAATCAATCGGTAAATCAATCGATCAATCAATCAACCATCATAAAAGATTCAGTCGGAGGACTTGAGGCCAAGAAAAAATCCCTGATCTCAATTTTCGCAGTCTCATCTGCAATCCTAAAGAAATAAAAAACATATTATTATTGATATAATTATTACTATTACTTCTAGTATTCTTACCGCAATCACTGATACTTCCGCTACTACTACTACTACTGCTGCTGCTACTACTACTGCTGCTACTACAACGCCACTGCAGCTACTACTACCACCACTACTACAACCTTTTGTTGTCGACGACGAGGTTGTAGGCAATGACCAGCTGATCCTGTGGGTCAGCACTCAGCAGAGCACTATGAACATCCTCCTCTGAGACTGAACATTTCTAATTTGGTGGTTGTTGACGATGACGTCATTCGTTGTTGTTGACGATGACGTCATCCGTTGTTTTTGTTAATGTGTTGTTTGATTGTATCCTATGTGGTTGTCGTTCGTTTCGTTTTATTTCTAGTTAACGTCGTAGTTGTTTTTAGTCAGTGGAATGTGAACAAGGTTAGTGGACAACTAGCACACAATACAACTACATCAACAGCAGCAAACAAACAAACGACTACAAACAAACAAACGAACGACCAACCTCGCAAACTTCTCGAATGGCATCGGTGTCGACTACACTAGCGTCGACGTCGCCAGCCGACGGAAACAGATATTCAGGCAGGTCTACTTGGAACCATTCATGCTCCCTGCAGGATTGTCAGTCACTCAATCATTGGACCCATTCAACCAATCAGAAACAACAGCAACCAACCAATCAATCAACGACTCACTCAATCAACCAATCAACGACTCACTCAATCAACCTATCAACGACTCACTCAATCAACCTATCAACGACTCACTCACTCAATCAATCAATCAACTAACGGCTCCACCTACCAACTGACCTGACGTTTTTAATAGTAGCCCTCTTCATAGGATCCACCTGAAGCATGTGTCTAATTAAGTTGACAACTTTTTTATTCATGTGGTCAGGAACTGAGAATATTCCGGCTACAATAAATAATAATAATAATTATTATGACTATAATTAATGATTAAAATTAATTATAACAAAAAAAGAATTGATACAAACATTTGATTTTTCTGAATAGTGTAGGAACATGCTCATCGTCAAATGGAAGCTAGATGGAAAAAACGAACGAACGAATGAATGGAAAAATGAATGAAAAGATGGAAAAATAAATAAATGTTTAAAAAAACACAAATGAATGAAAGAACGGAATGACCGCATGAATGCACACAAATTAAACTAAATCTATTTAACGATGTGTTTAATGTTCGATATTTATATAACAGTAAATTCGGAATCAACAATTCACTCATCAATCAATCACTCAATCAATCACTCAATCAATCAATCACTCAATAAATCAATCAATCACTCAATCAATCGCTCAATCAATCAATCAATCAATCAATCACTCAATCAATCAATCGCTCAATCGATCACTCAATCAATCAATCACTCACTCAATCAATCAATCACTCAATCAATCAATCACTCAATCAATCAATCAACAAACCGTTCCACACAGTAGAGCATACAAAATAATTCCACAGCTCCAAACATCAACCTCAGGACCAGCGTACAATCTGAAATGATCAACCAATTAATAATGGAATAAATAAATCCATCAATCAACTAATCAACCTACCAACCAATCCTTTATGACAATCATCATCATCGTCACTAACTTTCCCGAAATGACCTCTGGTGCCGCATAATTAGGCGAACCACAGCTCGTCTTTAAGAATTCCCCATCTGTCATCATGTTGGACAGCCCTGTTATTTGTTATCAATGCCAATATTGTTAGTAACATTTGTATTGTTATTACTATAATTACTGAATCAACCAACTAGTCAACCAATCATCCATCCAACCAACCAACCAACCAATCAGTCAACTAACAACACCAGCCAGCCAACAAACCAGCCAGCCAATCAGCTAACAAACTCACCCAAACAGCCAACCAACCAAAATCAGCAATCTTAACATTCTGATATTTATCAAACAGCAGGTTTTCAGGCTTAAGATCTCGATGTACAATCATGTGACGGTGGCAATAATCAACCCCGGATATTATCTGCTGAAAAAACTTTCGAGCCTCACTTTCTTTGAGCTATAAATAGAATTTAAAAGATAATAAGTAATTAATATGAATAATTTAAAAGATATTAACATCAGGAATATAAAATATATTAGGAACAAGTTTAACAAAATGGAGCACTAATTAACATAAAATTTTTTTCTTAAAAATGTACAGCAATTAAAAATTGCAAGACAAATTAATATGGGGTTTCCAAAACTGAAACACTTATTACCAAGATGTATCTAAAAAAGAACAGTAATCTAAAAATAGAACACTAATTAGCATAAGGTTTTCTAAAAATAGGCAGAACCTTTCCGTGTTTGATGATGTAATCAAAAAGTTCTCCACCTCCGACATACTCCATGACCATAAAAATGTCCGTTGGAGTGCTTATAACCTGGTATCTGGAATTTATAATTGTAGAATAATTGTAATTGTGACTGGAATTGTAAGAGTGACTGTAATTTTTAATTGTAGAGTCAATATTAATTAATGGAATAAATATACACTGAGGTTTCTAAAATAAAAATAGAACATAAATGAATGGCTTGGATTTGTTAACACACTTAATTAACTAATCAAATTATTACTTAATATAGAAATATACACTAACACATTATATAATATTAACTTAATAATAACAACCAAAAATAATAAATAAATACTGTCCTCTGGCTTACTAATTAATATTAAATAAATAATACTAACAGTTTGATGATGTGTGGATGTCTAAAGAGTTTCATATTCTGGATCTCCCTTCTTATCTTACCCACCACATCCAGGCTCTTTATTTTCTCCCTATTTAGGACTTTCACTGCAACTTTATGCCCAGTCAAACTGTGAATGCCAACTGTTGGTGGAATTGGAAAAATAAAAAAAAAAGATTTTAATTAATTAATTCAATTTTAATTTTTATCAAAGATGAAAAATTTGATTTCAAAATTTTTAGTTTAGATGAAAGATTCGTAAATGCAATCATGTTTTGTTGCTAATTCTTATTTAATTTTCAAATAATTTTAAAAATTTAAGTTCAAAAAAATAAACTTAAAAAATTAACAAATTATAAATTCAGATGCGCACTTTTCACTTTTCCAAAAGTACCGGTCCCTAGCGTCTCTCCCAAAATATAATTTCCAATCCTGATCTGGGGCTTGTCTGCCATTTTGAACTATAATTAATAAGAAATTAGAGAAAAATCGGTATTTTAAATTAATTTTGGAAAAGTAACTTTAATGAACTAAGAATGATGCTTGCTTTGTGTTTAAAAAATATAGAATGCTCAATGAAGCTTTGCTAATAAGTATAATAATTAAAAAACAAGATTATTAAATTTATTTTTTTACTTAAAATTATTTTTTTTATAAATTTTAAATAATACATTATTGATTAATAAACAAGCATGTAATAATATTGTTAAAACAAAAATTAGTTATATCAGATTTTAAGTTTTAAACAAGTCGAACCCAATACATCTTACCAATTTCGATTACAAAGTTTTTTAAAAACGAATTGACAGTAGAGTGGATAAAATATTGATAAAGAGATTATTTTCTTTATCTAATTACTAATTTTGATGTTTTTTCGTCCTAAAAATAAAATTTTTAGTGACATTATTAATTTTAAATGCCACACGCAAGGGTCATACTTAGAATAGAGACGAAATACAATCAAGCTCTGAAAGCTAATTTTGCTTACAATGGTAAATTTAATAATTTTAATAAATTAAATATTGATTAAATTAAATTTACAAAACAGAAGTAATTAATTATTTAATTCATAATACAATAATTATAAGAATATTTTTTTATTTTGTTTGTTGTAAATCTTGAAAAAAAATGAATCAATTGTCTATCTAGTCATATCTCAATGACAATAAAAAAAACAAAAGCTTTTTTTAAAGTTTATAATAAATAATTTTCAATAATTAATAATAGTAATAATATTGTTAATTTTGTTGTTATTATCTTTCTTGCTTTTATATTTTTCACTATTTCTTTCATTATCATTAATTTATTTAATTAGCTCCAGATTTAAAAAAAGATCAAGAATACAACGGAAAAACGACTCAACCAATCACTGATGAGGACAACAACAATCATCGCATAGAACCCACCAGTATAACATCTCCAGAAGAAATAAAAATCTTAAAAGGCAGACGAGAGTATCATCAAATTGTCATAGAATCTTATATCAATGGTGGTGATAATTTGCTATTATTATTACCATCACATTTATTTTTAGTGTCATTTAATTGTTTTTTTTTATTTTAAAAATAAATAATATCAGAGATGATAACGGCAAACTCTAAAGGAGGAGAGTCTGCTTATGATGATGATGTAGAGAAGAGTGGAGAATCTGTAACACCATCATCACAACCACCACCATCATCAACAACAACATCATCAACAACAACAACATCAACAGCAACAACTACAACATCATCATCGTCACAGATGATGGCTGCAACAACAGCAGTAGAACCAACAACAACAACTACAACAGCAGTAGCATCTCTAGCATTGACATCGTCAACAAAATCATCTGAAGGATTTTTTCCTAATTCCAGCAAACCGTCTTTTAAAGATGTTCTGCTTTCATCGTCATCTTCATCTGGGAATAAGATGTTTAAAAATGAACCTAACCTCAAATCCACTGATGACAACACTGGCTCTGATGATTATAACAGGTGAGTTTTGCGACACACACACACACACACACATACACACACACACACATACATACATACAGTAATTTGAAAG